GGAACGGCGCGGGAACGGGACAGGGAACGGGAACGGGAACAGCGCGGGAACGGGAACGGAACGGGAACGGAACAGGGAACGGGAACGGGAGAGGTTCCCAGGACAGGGAGCAGTTCCCGAGACAGGGAGAGGTGCCCGGGACAGGGAAAGATACCCGCGAACGGGACTGGTTCTGGGCCAGGGGTGATTCCCGGGACAGGGAGAGGGTCCCGGGACAGGGATCCGCGGCACAGAGGTTTAGCCGGTCCGGGAGAGACACCCCCGGGACCCCCAGACACGGTGCAGTCACAGCCACAACGTGGCACCAAGCGCAGAACCACCTGGTGAACAGTCAGCTACGACGCCGGAGAAAAATCACAAGAGGACAAAATAGAACTTTATTAAAAGTTAGTGTTCCGTTTCCATTTAATGCACTGATAAAACACCTTCATCAATAGATAATGATTAATTACTGCATTAACTAAGTACTTTAAGACTGACCCCTGAAAGTTAGACATAAAAATAAAACAAAGACTGATGCTCTAAGAAAACAGCTTGATCACAAAATGTCAGTTTAAACAAGATCAATTGCATTTGCTACCCTCTGGATATAAAATACAGAAATCCAAAAGAACCTTTACTATTATGACACAAGTTAGGTGTGCACATCCCTCTGAGCTAGGGGAGGGTCTCACCCCATCTCATCGGGTGAGAAGTTACACACAGAACACACTGCCTGACCCGGGAGTGGGAGAGCCCAACCCCTGCCCACTCCCCGCCCAGTGCCAGCCCAGCTCGCCCAGCATGGAGGGAGAGGAGGATTGAATGCCACAGATTGTCAGGATACAAACAAACTGCACAAGGCAGGGAGGGACTGCTGGGCCAGGCCCATCCAGCTCAGCATACTCACCAGTGCAGCCCAGAGGGAGCTGTGCCTGAAAATGAGAACCTTGAGGAAAGCAAAGCCAAGCCCAGCCCCGAGGCAGCACTGCCTGTCTCGAGACCAGCACAGCTCCAGGACACCACGGCCCAACACCCTCCCCATCCCAGCCAGCTGTTCTGTGTGCTAACCAACAAGTGCAAAAGATAAGTCACTGGGGCGGAACATTGCAGCAGGATAAATGTTTCCTGTTCCAGAAACTAAATGCCAAGGTGAAGGTTAAACAGTGAGTTTGTCTCAGCACTACCATGGCTGGAGCTGCTGCTCTGCAGAGCTCTGTCCTCTGATGCTGCTGCCCAACTAACACTGACCCTGAAAAGCTGTTTCCCAGCAGCAACTCACTGAGACTTCTTCCCTGGAGCAGGCCCGAGGCTGCTGTGCCGTGGGAACGTGAAGTCCTTTGGGCACAGAGGGCAAGGGAATGGTCTCCATTCATTCCCTCACTCTGCCAACAGCACCTGCATGCACCAAGGTTTACTTAAACTCAGGAGTGCAGAGGACAGCAGGACCTGTAAGAATCCCAGCTAATGTAGTCAGAACTCAGACTCTGCAGACAGGCAAAAATGCCTTTCCTCCTCCCAAATTCCCTGGCACGTCATTAACGCACCCATTGTGGATGGTCTGTGTGGGAAACCACTATAAGTCTCAAGCTGCAGACAAATGCATATTGTTAGAAACATGTACTGTCTTAATTTGTGATGTTTAGAGGCAGCAGAGAGGATCTTTCCTTCTAGGGAAGAGATCAAAACCGAAACCCACGTCACACTCTAGCAGAATTAGAGAGAAACACCACAAAAATCTGTGTCAGAACTAATCTCAGCAGTTGTACTTGCTCTGGCACAACAGAAGAACCGGCTGGAAACCAACAGCTTGCAAAAAGCAATATAAAAGAAGAGGCCATCAGGGTTACTGGTTTTCCAGAGGCCTTTCACAGGGCAGGGCCATTCTGAGCAGTGCTGCTTCCTGGGGGTGAGAACGGAGTGACTCTGCCATGTCTAAGGCAAGAAAATCCCCAAACTCTGTAGCCATTAGTGTTTTCCCATCAACCCTCAACAATTTCATTTTCAAGAACATCAATGCGTGCAAATATACTTTTTTCCCCTCTCCTGCTTCTAGCACTTCCAGACTATCTACATCTCAATTCTCCTCACGACCTCACTGGAATCGTTTGGGGTTACTTCCTTGTCAGGCCTTTGGAGTAACTTTCTTTAAATCTTACAGGTAGATTTGGCACTGATCAAAGCAGTTCAGGATTAACCATCATGGAATCTGGAGCTTCCAGGACTGAGAACAGCATGGGAACACAAAAGCAGGTGTGGAGCACATCCAACACTATCTCAATTCTCCTCACGACCTCACTGGAATCGTTTGGGGTTACTTCCTTGTCAGGCCTTTGGAGTAACTTTCTTTAAATCTTACAGGTAGATTTGGCACTGATCAAAGCAGTTCAGGATTAACCATCATGGAATCTGGAGCTTCCAGGACTGAGAACAGCATGGGAACACAAAAGCAGGTGTGGAGCACATCCAACACTTCCATTGCTGGCACAGCCAG